GCTAGGGCTCAGTACAGGTCAAGGATTCTTTTTCTAGTATTAAAGAATTAGGTCTTCTAGTACTACAAGCCATTTTGCTAACTTTTCTTCTACCACAATTAAAAGAGGGATGTAAAGATATCCGCAGATATAATTGCTATGCAAAACAAAGTTGCTTTATGGTTGGGGTTTTTTTGCCCCCCTTTTTTTTTTTAAAGCAATGTCATTTTAGGTTACATTTATGCTCTCAAACTATATTTTGTAGTTATTAGTGTTACTATGTACCTTCATAAATTCATTCTCAGTTCTCTTAGTAATAATTAGAGAAAAGTGCTGGGCAGAACTTACCTGCTACTCAAATCACTTTTCCTATACAGAAAGGGCTTTATTAATTAGAAGTGACAATATATCAAGAACACTCATCCAGAGCTTATAAGGAAGACTCAATAGCTCCTACAAACTCACATGGTCTGCCAACCTGTATGAGTGAACATCTAGGTTTAGTTATGTAGAGTAACACATTTAATATTCTTGTAATTCTCAGCATTCATAGGTGATTGCAACCACTCATCCAGGAGCTCAGAAAGCCCTGAGTTGCTAAACATCTTCAGATAACAGCCAAAATAGAGAGGAGCCTTTTGAAGAAGTTTTGGAACTTTTATACAAGATTTTGGAGAGCCTATGATTTTCTTCTTTTTAGTTCTGACCAACTGGGAAAAAATAGTAGATGGTTATGTTTTTCGGGTTGTAGCTTACAAGTGTTTGGGAAGATGGACTGCTATTGTGGAGCATGCTCAGATATATTTTTGAAAGGTGAATGCAGTTTTTAAACTGGATGACACCAATATAGCAAAGTGAGTGTGTGTCTAGACAGCATCCCGATTTTCTATTTGTCTTCTATTCTCTTAATGGCATCCTTCCTCTACCTCTCCTCACAACTCCGTATCAAAAGTTTATTGTGGTGGCTAAGAGGAGAAAAAAAAAAGTCATCTCTTCCCCACGTGGCTGTGCAATAAATATTTGACACAAGCAACATTATAGTATTTATGACTTTGATGCAAGCCAGCAAATTTTTTAGAGGCGAAGAGCATTCCAGTTTAAGAGACTGGATTCTTACTGTCACAGCTCAACGTCTTCTATAAATCCAGAGCAAACAAAAGCATCAGAAACGGTTACATGGATTCTCCTGTCAAACCAAGCAGCTAAAATCCTGAGGAAATCAAGCTAGTAGAGCAAAAGTCAAAGCCGAGACAGGTTTTATTCTGCATGCCTAGCCAGGCTTCTTTCAGCATTGTTATTTTAGTTTGAAAAAAACCCAAACAACCCACCTTTTAAGGGCTAATAACTGGATCTTTTCTAGTTGTTAGTTTTTAGATGTTGTAAAATCCCTTAAAGTTTAAGGGCTTGAAGTAACTGGACAATTATCTCCTAAACAGGAGAGTGGTAGAGCTGAAAACAGAAGTCACAGCCCATGCTGTATCCTGTCAGTACCCTGCCTTCCCTCACAGTGGGAAGGAACTGGAGAACTCTACTCAAATGGGGTTTTTTTCATTCACATAGTCTTTTTCACCCTTCTTGTGAGAGCTTGCTTCCCCTGCACCTTAGATTTCGGGTTTGAAAGCAAATCATCAGAGTATCTAAAGCTTTGGTAGCTTACTTAAATTGAGTTATCAACTCATACATGACACAAAAAGGCTAATTATTGCCAAAATATAAACATACTTCTTATCTACAGCAGACCTAAGTAGATATTATCCAGTTCTCAAGTGTTCTTGCTCTACACTGTTAATAAACGTGCCCTCTACCTGGGACATTCACCCTGAAAAATTTGATGGCAACTTTCTGACTAGTCTTGTGCTTGTGTATAACTGCAGTGTTACGGTGTACGAAACTTACATCATGACAAGATTTTTCATGATTACGAGCAGTAGCTCGGCAATGGAATTCTCTTTTATGGGCCTGTTACAAGAACTGTCAAAAAAAAAATCTTCCAGTTCAAGCAGGACAGTTTTGATCACCCCCTTAAGTGGTTTAAAGAGTCCAATTTCTTTGTCAAGGTTCTCAGAGAAAGAAGGCAATTTCTCAAGGCACGCAATATTAGTCCCCAACCTATCAGTCACTGTTATGAGACAAGCCTTGAGAGTCTGATGGCTGAGGTCTATTAACTGCTCACAAGATTGATAACAGGGTAAGTTGCAAAGGAAACGTTAGATTTCCAATCAGTCCGACAATCTTTTAAACTTCTTGCGATACCATAATAGAAGAGATGCTGCCTGATATTTCATCAGAAACTATTTTTCATTTATGATTCCATAAACAAAGACAAAGGTAACCGCATCTGCACAAGCCAAGAAGCCGAAGCCCTTCTCTTTCAATACTCAGTCTCAGTTCGGGAATTTCTCTTCTACTTAACCAGGAAATTACAGTGTGAAATAGCAGACTGTGCAGCCATTATACATCAATAATATTTAAGTAACAGTGTTAACTTGTGGTTTTTTTAGGGTAAGCTAGTACTACTCTAGAGCAATACCATCCAGTCTTTTAATCTTCTAGAGGACATTATTTCATATTTCTTTGTATTTGGGTATATAGGAAAATGCAAACAAAAAATACCAGGGAGGAGTTGTGCAGACTTATGCCAAACCCCTATTTTTTTAGTTGTCCTCATGTCAGACTTCAGAAATTGACAGTGCCTTAACTCTTCCAAAGACAAAATTAGGTGGAGCTGGAGGTTGTCTAGCTGCTGGGAAAGCAGGCAGCCACCTGTTCCCAGAATGAGGAGGAGTGACAGAAAAACACAGTTCTCTGTGAAGCAGATTTTTGCCTACATAGAGAAGCGGCAGGAACTCTGATGAGCTTTTAAGCCCAAACAGTTCTGGCTCTATGCAGCACATGGTCAGACAGGTGGTCACTGGCTGTGCTCAGCTTTGTTCCTGTTCCAAATACTCCACACTACTTCATTCACATTGCTTTTGCCCACATAACCACCCTCTGATCTTTACAGTGGTTTACTGCAGCTTTGCTTACATCTCTTCCCACATAATTAATTTTGCAGTTCATCTAATGAGTCCCTCAGTTTCACTATAATGTAAGTTAATTTCCATACTGTAACTGCACAGCTTGCAGGTGTAAACAGAACTCTTTAACTGTATGATGCTGTAGATCTTGGAGATAATTCTTAAAATGTGCTATTAATAAACTGACATGAGAATTATTTTGTCATCTATTATTTATAAATATACCAGAATCAAACCCAGAATCAAAGATTAGAACTCAATGAGGCAGGTATCACATACTCAGTATTGCTTGCCCTTCAGAACAGATTTTGCTTATTCATTGCAACCCTGGAAGCATGAGACATCCAAATCCAAGTAACAAAATTAATCTACTTAAATATTTTGACGTATCAGAAGTTCTTAATATCTGACCAACATTACTTAAGAGTCTTGAAAAGTCCATTAGGGCTTAAAGTCTGCTGTTTCACAAAAAAGGGAAAAAAAGGCAACCCTCTCAGTTCTGAATGGTAGAAGCTCTAGCAAGAGAATGGTCATGCTATTTTCCAAAATAAATGATCTGGTTTCTCCATGGGTGAAAAGAAAGTTCGCAAATGTTTTTCTGCAATACTTCAATCTATGTATCATAGTTTAAAATCTGACATGCTACTTCAAAAGACCTATGGAATAACAGTCCATTTTATATTGGAATAACTGCATATGCTTTTGTATTCATAACTGCTCCTGGGTTACATTTCAGATGTAAATTAAAAGCTGTTTTACTGTAATCACACAGGGCCCACATTTCTGGATTCTGTGACATTTTAGTCTTTCCCAACATTGACAGATGTACATTTTTGAAATACTACTGCCCACCACCATTGTAGCCTCATAAGAACAGTTACCCACTTCTACAGTGGCAGAGATATTAAAATTATATATGTAATATAGTTACTCTGCTTTTGCCCAACTCATGTATTCTTTTTTATACTTAGTCTCCGTGTTTGTTCTGTTTGCAATGTGTATTCCACCCTCTTCTATTTCAGTCTTTTATATTCCTCCCTGAAAATATCCTCCTAGTATATTTATACTCCATTTCACTTTTTCACTTACTGAGTCTCTCCACCCCCTCAATCCTGTGGTAGTATCTTTCGCTTTGCCCATCACTAATCTGATAAACTAAGACTAAAAAGCAACTCACCTTTGTAATTTACAAGATACAACTGCAAGAATTCTCACTTCCTCAAGGTTATGGAGCATTGTAAAAAACATTATCTGGGCTGAGTGCTTCAGTTTATGTAATCTGCTTCATTGTCTTTGGATATTCATAAGAGAGTACACGAGACATTACCAGATGGATAAATCCAGATTTAAAATGAACATGAAGGAAAACCAAACATTTCATTAGAATGTTACCATTTTATCACAACATTAAAAGAAACAGTAATAAGCATGTCCCAGAAGTAGTAAAAGAGATTTTTTTTTATCTCGGACACTGTACTTGTTACAGATACCATGACTGAAATTAATCACAAGCTCATACAGCCTTAATTATTCATAGGTATGTTCTGTTCTAAAGGAATCTTCCTATGTTCTTCAGCATATCTGATGGACAAAGAGTTCTGTAGCACTAAAAACCCTTGCAATGATTCATGTGAACAAAACTTTAGCTCACACTGTAATCTGTCCTTGCGTTCTCTACTCCAACAATTTTCAGAGGTGTGCACAGAAAAAAGGGTAAATGTAAAGCAGATTCTTCTATAAAGCATAGAAGTATTTTTCTTTCTTTAATAAAAAAACTCTGTAGTATTGACTTAAGATAATTATATTCCACTATCTTCTTCCTTACAAGTATGGTGAGATCACCTGGCCATATTCTCCCTTTCTATCTATAGTCTCCGTTGCAACAAGTGTTCTTGAACTGAAAGATAAAACATGTTCCCAGAAACAAAACCATAAAGGCCCCTAAAAATGTGAACAAAGCAGTTTAAATTGGAAGTAACTGCCAGATGGTTAATGAATGCATGATTAACGAGAAAACTGCCGTCTGTCCGATTTCTTGCTAATGTGTTTGAAGATTTTAGCTTTGTGGACGTTCTGCGGTTTCTGGTAACCAAATCCCCCACCTCCACCTCTTTTCTGTAGTCTTCTGCCATGGTTGCTGTTCACATCTGAAATTTTATTGGTTAAAGAACTTAAAAAGGAGTAATTTGAAATGTTGCTTTTTAGGTATGGTAAGGGTTAATGCGACAGAAACAGCAGCATTATACAAAAAGTTGAGATGCATAACTACAGACAAAAGTAGAACTTTGTGACTGTGGTTCTAAATAATGCTTTTATTCCTCCAATTGTCCAACTGCTTCCAATTCCATCCACTGGCAGGGCTGACAGTAATCTAAATACAGCCTCCTGTTTCATGCTCTTGCCTCTCTGTTTCAATATTCCATGGTTATTAAACTTAAGAACGTACCTTCCAATGAAAATAGATTTGCATGGAGAACAGCACTCTAGAACATGTATGCATTCCTGTATCTGCTACCCCACAGCAACTGAAGCATGTACACGCACTGGAGCATACATGTCTGTAGTCAATTTTTGCAGTTTTAATATTTGCCATTTATCATTTTCTTTGATAAACTACTGTTGGAGCACAATGCATTTATGTGATTAATAGCAAAAAAATAACAGAATTTGAAGTAGCATAGAAACTTCAGTAAGTTGCATTTAACATTTATAACACAGAAACTCAGCTTTGAAACACTGCAGTAAAAGGATACTGAGGTCAACAAACGGAGGAACTTTAAAACCAAATGAAAGGCTGACTTTGGGAAGATCCAAGTTATTGACATCATAAATCTGCTTCAGAGAATGGGAGTCATAAGCTCTAATGTAAGCTTTGTATGCTTCCTGCGCTGACTTGTGAAGGAAGTAGTTCTTCTCAATCAGTTTTTCCAGCTGGTGAGGGGAAGAAAAAAAACCAAACAAAAAAAACCCCAACAAAACAAAACAAGAGACATATCCAATTATAGCTGTAACAAGTGTATAAATTATATTCAAGAAGACTATTTACTGTATGAGTTGCTGTGACATTCACTATTCACTTCAACAAAATTGCCCCGTGACAAGAGAGTGCACATACATATATCAGAGTGCTTTTATAAACAGAGGGACAAAAAAGCCTGAGCTGAATTATAGTACAAAGCCTCAGCAATATGAAAATTTGCAAAAATATTAAATTGGGTTGTCCCAAACAAGCTAATCAAGAAGGAATATACAACTGCAGTCACACCGTGTAACTATGTGTACTGAGAATTAACGGATGACAGTACACTTCTAAGTCAAACATCTAAACGGGACTATTCCATGTAATTCTATATATAGTCTTATCTATTATAGTGCAAATGCATTTTAAAGTAAGTAGTATTAATTCTAAGACAAAAATGCAGATGCATTAGTGTAGGCCAAGACATTTAATTGTTGCGGGCTAAGTTCCCAATACTCCTTAGATCCAAGTGTCTCATTTGATGTTTAACATATGTTAATTCAGCATACTAAAACCAAGTTACATTAGACATCATTATTTCCTAATTATTCTTCACTAGGAACCTCTTTCTGTAAGGACTGTCTTCCCTGCTTCTCGTACTTGCTATTTCAAATTAAAGTTACTGCAAAGAAGCTTTACAGAGCTCTTATCAAGAACAATTCACAGAACCAAACAATAGAAATTCACATCTACAGAACTATCTACACTATTTTATTCAATTTCATGCTCCACAGCTATTTTTGTAGCACAGGAACACAGGTTATCTGATGCTGGGCTTTATTAACACCAGCTATAGTTAAAAATACACCTGAGTATATACTAACATTTCCAAGTGTTGGTACTGGATCTCTTTCTGCACACTGAAGTCCGAGTAAATCATCTTATAAGACATATGTTACTCACAATTAATCTGAATATATGTAACTATTCAGTAAAAGCTACTGAAACCCTGTTTGCTATGCTAGACAAGAACATTCTGTTCAAAAGCTGAAAGCAGGTTCACATCACTATGGTTTTGCGATGTAATGAGAAAAAACAATTCTCACAAGCAAATTCATACCATATATGACAATTTAGTAAAATATATTAAAATTAATCTTCAATTTCTAAACGTTTTATCACTTTACTGTCATTAAGGGACTATATTGCAGGAGGATTTACTGCACAGTACTCATCTACAAGACTTTTTCCAAATAAGCACATCTATTTTTAAACTGCAGTCGTTATAGACTAACATTCTCCATGTAAATTATTATACAGGCATTCAGATTAGCTGTAGTATGAAGTCATTTCATACCTGAGACTGGATGTCTGAAATTTTTGACCACGAAAATTCAAATTCATTTAGTGGTACCTTAAAAAAAAATTTATTTACACTGTGCAGTGAATGTGTTTAAGACCTAAGACAGAAAAAGACCTGCTAGATAACAGAAGATTTTTTTTTTTAATACCAGAGCAGTATCTGTAAAGTGCCTTTACATCAATATGTCGGTATCATCACTTCCTTTACGCTAGAGTAATAAAGATGCTCAGTATGATACTTTTACCACTTTAGCTTTTGCTTTAGAAGCTGTATCAATTCAGCTGCAAGTGGCAAAACTCTGTAAACAAGCCCGTAAGGAGAGCAACCAAGAAACTACATGCAGTTCCATCGTATTAAAACAATTGTATTTAAAAGAAGGCTACACTTCGTAATTTAACAAAATGCAATTGACACTTTGAATAGAAAAAATAAAAGCTGTACAAGCAACATCCGAGTTTGAATTTCCTCTGATGGTCAAACTCCCACTATCCCTCCACAGAGGGGAAGGAAATTTATTTACTTTTTAATAGCACAAGTTGCAAAGCAACTATAAATGCACTCAATATTTACCTTTGTGCTCCTGACTTTAGACTTAAAAGTCAGATGTTCAGTTAAATATTTTCTAAGCAACAGTATTTTTTTTTCTTAAAAAATTAAAATGTTTGATCAATCATTACAGTTTTTGCCTTTAAAAACCTGTTGCACAGTAAAAAAAAAAATCTAGACATAGGTTTACCCTGGCTTGTTTTAGGTAACGAAGAAAGCCCAGTTCTTCAGGTCGTAAAATGAGCAGAGCGTGTCCTCTACCATTTATGCCTCTGGCAGTTCTACCAACACGATGAATATATTCCTTTTGGAAAGAATACGAAACAGCAAGTCCAATCAGTCTTTCAAACAATGAATAATCAAACAGCTTCACAAAAACTCCCCGAATTCAACATTAATATAATGCAATGCATCATCCATTTTTTAAGACTTTTTCTTAGCACTGACACATGGATAAGAGAAACCAAGTCCTGAAGATGCAAAGCATGATTAGGCTGAGACAGAACCCCTGACTAAAATTATTTTACTTTTTACTTTTTACTGAAGAAAATAAAAAATCTTAATCTGCTGTAACTGAAAATTAAACTCTGCTTTTGGTATATTTGCTGTGTATATTTGTCAAAACTTCTGAGTTTTTTTGAGATTTGCTTGTTTACAGTGGACATTTATTCCAATAAGAATACTGACTTTTAAATAAAAATCAAACTTCCACTGGAAAAGCTGTCAGGAGACTCAGAGATGCATATATAAACTTATACTCCTGAGAAGTGTTTTGTTGTTTAGCTGACTAAATTTTAAATTAATTTAACAGCACAAAGAATAATGTTTTAAAAAACAACTCTTAAAAAGGTAATGAAGGTCTCAGCTAGGTGCAGCATTTCCTAGAAGCTGGTGAAGGGAAGAACTCAGTGGCTGGATATGAACATGTCTGAATCCAACTCTGTCAAGCAGCAATTTCAGCTTTTCTCTGCAATCACATCTGTAGATAGGATTTGATTTGTTGCTGTGAAGTTTCTCTATTTCCTCAACTTACTTTTGGATCATCTGGAGGGTCATACTGGACAATCCAGTCAACTTCAGGAATATCCAGTCCTCTGGCAGCTACATCAGTGCACAACAGTATTCCAGATTCTGCATTACAGAACTGGAAAAATGTTGTAGTACGTTTGGTTTGTTTCTGCTTGCCCTAAAAGGAAACAAACACATTAAGGGTGAAATATCAAAAAAAAGAAAAACCAAACCCTGCCAACTTCTAACCTTAAGCCTAATTTCCCATTTCACGTATTATATCACTGCTAAAAATATAAAATAATTTGGGGCATCCTTCCTTCTGTATCATGGACTTGTACAGACCAAGCAGGACTGTTTCACAGTGAAGAAACAATGCTACCACAGTCAACAGCACAGGGCTACATGAAGTGGTTTCTCTTAGAGGTTACACTGTATCTTCCAAAGTATTAAAAATTTTGTTGCATAAGCATTCTTTTGAGGAGGGCAGTCTAAATGCCTGAAGTTCAGAAAAAGGACATTTGCAAGTCTAGCAATATGTCAGATAGATTACAGGTTAAAAAACCAAGCAAACACAAACCATACTTGTTAGTTCTACTAATGTATAGCAAAAAAAATCCCAAAAGAACAAAACAAAAAAGGTCAATTATAACTGTTTCACAAAATTTCAGTCAATTCTGTCTCCTAAACCAGGCATTTTGTGGTTTTGACAAAGAATTTAAAATACTCATCCAAATGGTAAAAATTGGCATAGTAAAACCAAACATCACCCTGGCCTTCAAAAAAGCACCCAGCACTTCCAAGGATCAGAGCGTTTGGATTCCTCTAACAATAGCTTTGCTCCACAAATTGAGTTTTAGTGCTTGTGAAAGGCAAATCCCTTTGAAGAAAACAGAAAGCTTTCTACACACAGAGCATAAATTAATACCAGTGCTCAGCTCTGGTTTGGAAAATAGCAAGATTAACAATATTGAAGTGTTGTTATTACATAGTCTTTGCTTTATCTCCTTCCACAGACTAATCAAGATCATAGAATCACAGAAAGTTTTGGGTTGGAAGGGACCCCTAGAGGTCATCTAGTCCAACCCCCCCCCAGCGAGCAGGGACACCACTAACTAGATCAGGTTGCTCAGAGCCCTGTCCAACCTGGTCTTCAATGTTTCCAGGGATGGGGCCTCCACTACCTCTCTGGGCAACCCGTTCCAGTGTTTCACCACCCTCATTGTAAAGAATTTCTTCCTTATATCCAGCCTAAACCTGATGATCATCAGTTTTGTGAAACGGGTCCAAAATAAACAAGGCAAATGTAAGGTCAGTAACAACTTACAGGTACGATCAGATTAATTAAAAGTAAATCAATGAATACTTACATGAATGGCCAAAACAGGCAGATCAATATAGTTGAGTAATTCATAGTGATACTTCACTGACATACATGAAGAAAAAAATACCATCAGTTTCTTCTTCCGGTTCTTCTTGAGGAATGTGAAGAGCAAAAGGAATCTTTTTTCAGATGGACACACTACATACCCCTAGAAAATTTTTAAATATTGTAAAATGAGTTAGTATAGAACAAAATTTTGTTTCAGCAATACGGTTAAATCAGTGAAGTGTTGTGAAACAAATATGCCAAATTGTTAATTTTTCCAGCTCTACTGGGTGAAACCATCCGATTTATTGTCTGTCCCGCACCTTCGTATATTAAATTCCTCAAGATCACAAACTTGTCAAAAAACTTACTGTACTAACTTGAAATATGAAGAAGTAATTTTTAATTAATTATCTAAACTAATGTAAGTTCAATGAAAGGTAATTAGTGTATACAACAAAAAATAATTTCAAGAACTACGAATTATTGACATTAGGCAGGACAAAAACTGCACAGGGTTCTTCACCTTTTTTATGACTTAGAGAATTTTATTTTACGGAATTATTGCTACTGGTTTACTCTTTTAAGGTAATACATAGCTACTGATAATTCTATAACAACACTCATCATGTCAACTGCATGAACACAGAAACTGCTGTGCAACTCCATTTAGCTATTATTTAGCAGCAACAATGAAATATATCTGAAGCATATATAACCGTCTAATCAGTAACTTGGAAAATACAGTTGGAAAGACAACTGGAGCTTAGCTATTACATAGGAACAGACAAGTGTAAGTAACTACATTACTATTTCATGAGGTTTTGTATCATCTGTCCTGCAAACATTGACCAGATGCATACAGCTTACCACAGTCAGCAGACTGAATAAAAGCCCTTTAGGCAACTGATGGCTTTTGCCTATTATGATGGTAAGCGCCCTTTAAGACAGTGTTTGTACAACCCAGTTAAAAACACACAGGGCTTGGTACGTTCACAGATCACAACCCTTTTAATAACATTTGGGTTTTACCTGTTCAAGACCATCTACTGTTGCTGTCTCTTTGTTATCATCAACCCCAACGTATAGTGGCTCTTTCTTCAGAGAGATCTTTGCCAGATCTTCAACCTTTCTGGTTTGTGTAGCAGAAAAAAGCATCGTCTGTCTGCGCTCTGAAAAAATATTTATTTTGAAAGACAACCTCATTTTTTAAAGGAGAATTCAAATAGCAAGTCCATAAATTCTCTAGCTGCAAAATTCCCTGATCAAGTCTTCCACTTTTTGCAATTAAATTCTAATTCAGACATACTGCTTCTGACCAACAAAGACACATGTAGTTCTATTATGGACTGTACAGGATGTGTACATAGGCTGCCCCCACCCCCAAAATCCTAACAGCTATCAAAAGACAGTATTTCTCTCTGGTAAAACGTTAATAATCATTTGCACTCCAATTTAGACACAAACCAATGATTTAAATAGGGACCAACCTTGTAATTCTGACTATAAATTGATTTAATTCCTGTGAATATTAAAATGTTGTTAAAAAAAAAATCATGTTAGAGATTGCGCAAGAAAAAACCTACCAAAACTAAAGTGCATCGTTACTGTTTGTCGTGCAGAATCAGTCTAGAACATACACGCTTGTGCACGCTGTTTAGTCATGCGCCAGTACGTCTGTACTGAGCCTCGGCGACTTCAGTGGTCTTAGAGAGCAGGTGTAGGAAGTCTCCTGCCTGCCTGTCATCTCTCAGCTCAAACACATATCCTGGGCCTGTAACATTTTCTGGTTACACCAGTACATGGGAAATGCAGACTTGACCTGTTCCATTTCACAACTGCAAGAACAGTAGCCATTGTTCTTACCAAACAACAGGTACCACCACCATTTTTGACCTTTTATTTTTTCTATTTTGAAATGTCTGTTTTAAAGTATAATTTCCTTCCTAACGGGACAACAAATTAAACTCATGCAAAGCAAAAATTTCTTTCATCTATCATTCCCCACTTCACGAAGAATGTGTCATTTTCCCACCCTTCCTTCCCCTTCCTTTTTTAGCATTGTTTATTAACATTCTTCACAGGATGTTATATATTAGATTTATATACCTGCATTTTAAACATGCAGATCTGAATTTTAATACTTAAGATGTGGAACCTCAAAATATTTATCACTCATTTATATACCATTTCCATGGGGTGTTTTTTTCTGCATTTTGAGAGTTACAGGGAGATCCTCACTGACTCCGAGAATGTTTAATACATCAATTACAAGGAATAACAAACTGAAAAATTAGGAAAAGAAAATTTTAAAGCAAATACTTAAAACTTTCTTAAGATACTGTTCTTGGAGGTATGAAGAAAATCTGAACTGCAAGTCAGAAGACCTTTTTCCTTATATTTAAGCCTTATTAGGAAATAATGAATTGTAGGAAATAAACAGGCAGAGGAAGATGAATGGGAGAATGCAGATGTTAAACTGAAAGGATCTTCTACAAACAGAATTATATCCCTAAAGTACATACGAATACTCTGTCCTTCAGATAAATGATGTTAAATACAGTAACATATACCAGCTATCAGAAGAAAAGGACAGAGTAAGACAAACACTCTGAAGTACATTTACAGAACTATAAAAATTAATGACTTCTCTTATAATAACCGAGTCATAAAGAAGACGTAATGCTAGTCAAGTGATTTCCAGGAAAGACAGATTCCCCCCCCCCCTTACTTGGCAGAAGTTTTATGATCTGTTTCATTTCTTCTTCAAATCCAACCTCCAAGATACGATCTGCCTCATCAATTACCAAACACTGCAAGTTCTTATACATGAAACCTGGAGTATTCTAGAAGATTAACAAATTCAGAGTCAGACAGGGATAAGAGTTTTAGTAAGTATTAATAACGCAGCTTAGACATCAATATTTTATCTACCTGCATATGATCCAGCAGCCTTCCTGGTGTTGCTACAATGATGTTGATTCCGTTTCCAAGTTTCTGTGCTTCTGCTGATCTGTTACTGCCCCCCATTATCAGACCATAGGTGTGAACATGATGATTCATAACTTCTTTAAGAACTCCATAGGTTTGCATAGCAAGCTCTCGAGTAGGAGAAAGAATAATAACACCCGTTCCTAAAAAAACACATCAGAAAAGAACAAGTTACAACAACTCACCCAGTCTCCCTCCTAGTCACGTCCCTAAATGGCTGCGCCACAGTAAAATCCAACTGTGAAATGACGAGCCTTACCATTCCTAGGCATGAATTTTAACTTGTAGATGAGCTCTACCGCAGGAATGAGAAACGCAAGTGTTTTACCGCTGCCCGTTTTTGCAGCTGCTAAAATATCCCTGTATGCAACAAAGTTAGAAAAAGAAGTAATTAGTTAATCTTACAGAGAAAAAAACCATCCTATTTTGAACAACACTGGCAATGTAAAAACGTAACATGGCTTCCAGGAAACCCGGAGAGATGGTATTAAGAGCTCGGCGGGCGATGTGGTCCACAGCTACTGCCCACTATGTCTCTAGAGAGTCTTTGTGACACACTGAAACGAGACTAGCGAAAACTGACTTCCTTGCTTTCAAAGCCAAATGCAAAGCAGTTTCCATGAGCTCACCCTAGGCATTTGTTCACTCACAACACAGACATACTGTGTTAACTTGTATTAATGGCTATAAACAAAACACTTATATGAGAACATGCTTAAAAAACCAAGAGGTTAGCTGCAGAAAGTCACATTTCATGTATTGAGCTCTCTAGCAAAATTTACACAATGTTTGGGGTCAATATAGTGATTAAAGGACATATTTCTTACCTGCCTTCCAGAAGTGGCTTAATACTTTTATGCTGAATTTCAGTCATGTGCGTAAACCCCATGTCATTTATGCCTTTCAAGGTATTCTCACTGACAAGACCAGCCAGGGAAGTAAAAGAATTGTCTTCAAAAGCACCTGAAGTGAGGAGGGAAAATAAAAAATACTCAAACTTAGTTCTTCAATTCCATCTGTCCTCTGAGATTACCCAGTTAAAACTGACTTAGATGAAAAAAAAAAAAAATCAAAGGACTTTTTCTTATTCCTGTCTATCATAAAATCCAAAGACATCAACGAAACACTGTATTAATGTGTTCCTAGGAACACTACATAGAGCTGTTAAAAATGTACTGCTTCTCCTGCCAAATCTACTAGTCATACACCTCCATCTTCCTCTTCCTTAACTTTCTCCTCTACAGTTAAACATATGCGTGCATGTATGTTTTGAAACAGATTTAGGCTAGTAACATTAAGACTATTGGGCGTGTGTATATAATGCAAATTTCAAAGACAGTAAGGGACTAACAGCTGTACAGCTGCCAGTGTCACCTCACTGCTATTCAAACACCTGACTTACAAAGCCAATCTGAAAACTGCCGCTTGCTCCAGAAGAAAGCGTTAGACCTTGGCTTTTTGCACACGTGTGAAAAAGAGCACACGAGATACCTGTTACACCCAGTGGTAAACTGGGCACTTCATCCTCCTCCCCCTCCTCCTCTTCCACTTCCTTCTCTCCAGAATCCTGTTTCTCTTCATGTGCTCCCTCCACAGATTCATCTGCTTCAATTTTCGCTTTTTTGGTTTCTGTATCTAGAGCGTTATTTTACAGAAGACAAGTCAGTCAGAGATATGAAGGATGTGCTCATCGCTAAAAGCTGTTCCACAGAGTGAAATTCTTTAGTCCATAAACCGCTTACGAATGTCATGCTTTTTTCATGGGGTGGGAGAGGGGCAGGAGAAGGGGAGGCAGGGTTTCCACGAACTTTCTGAGGCAGAGAGCAAAAAATTCAGCTCGCACACAGTCCTCTTCACACAGTAAAACAGTGAAGCTTAACGTACACTATATGACATTTTCTGTGGAAACACGGAACAACTCACAAAACTCTTTGCTATCTGTGATGCAGACATCAAGTTTCCAACACAGTTTGTGCTTGGGACACGTGAAACGTAATGTCTCTGTTCCGTCTGAAGTACCTGAATCCTCAGCGCATGAAAGCACCTCTCTATCTGCATAACCACGACAAGCGTCACAAAGATCAAAACTGTGAGGGACAGAAGCTGCAAATATATATGCGTGCATGTGTATCTATACATATATATGCATAAAGATGTATACAAATCTGGCAATTTTGAGGGATGCAATATTTTTGCAGTAGTTTCCCAGCACACTTTGGTTTCCTAACACACAGATGTTGCTAAAGGCTGGATGGACGCGTTGCTAAAAAGACGTACTGGCAGCACATGCGAGCAGCCGTCCATCAGAGCTCTCCTTTGAAAGACACAACACACATAAATGCATAATAAACAAGCAAAACATCCAAATGTAATATGACCGAGCTGAATCCTAAACCAAAGTTAGATTGGTTGCTAGCGTTTTAGTATGTATTAGAGTTTAAATGTCACAGCCAGAGTAAGAAAAGTGGCAATATCGAATACCCCGCACCGGGTCTAAATCCCAGCGGCACCCGGTCCTTCCCACACCGTCCCGGCGATGAACCCCCCCCGAGAGGGCGGGCAACGAGCGCAGCCGCCC